TCTGCCTTTTCAATATTTCCTAGGATATTTCATTTTTTTCTGGGAGAGGGCTGGATGATAACTTCCCACACATCCAAGAAGCTTTTCCAGCTCTCTCTCTCTAAGGTTACATCATATTGCTCTTATTTATATGGTCTAATTGGTCTAATGGTCTAGGCATTAAAACAACTCTGTTTAACTTCAAGATCAAGCAAAGTCAGTTGAGTGCTGCAGCCTGTACCTTACCTGCTACAAAGATTTCTCCCATATTATTTGTGATTCACCCACGGCCACCATTTTGCTAGCCAATTACAGACGATACGGTTTCCAGACTGGAAACCATGAGACCACATTGTTGTTTATATTGCCACCAAAAGTTGTTTCTGTGGGTTAGAAATAGAATTAAATAGAAAGAGATACAGAAAGTTAGAAAATAGAAAGGGGCATGCTAATTTTCTTTGCACAAATGATAGGTACCATTAGTGAAATAAGATAGCTTTGGGTGCCATCTGGTGATCACATCTCCGCATTGCAGCTGAAATAGATGTTAAAAAAAAGATCTATTTTCTCTTTTAGCACATGAACCAATATTATAGTTCAAGACTAGCACCTAGGCAGCTGGAATAATATTTTGAGGAACTGTGATTTCAGTGAACATTCAATGAATAATGTATCAACAAAGTGATTAATAGTAAAGGAAATTTTCTGTGTGGAAAAACATCAAAGCATCATACTTATTAGAGAGAGTAGGAGGTCACCATTGCCATTTATACCTTGACTACTAGAAATTCATGCATTATTACAAAGCAGAGTTTTATACAATTAACTATGTGGTGCAGTATTAGAGAAGAAAGAGTTGGGTTAAAGTTTTCTGAGTGAAACTGAACCAGTGGCTATTCTAGCTGAATTTGTATATATAATTCTGCAATCTTAGAAATAAGGATAGGATTAAATTTGAGACTCGTCAGGATTTAATTCCAGGCTGTGGGCAGAGTTTGCCCACAGTGTTGCATTTTAATCACTGTGCCAAGGCAATGTTCTGAGAATGTCTAAACCTACAGAAAAGATGTCTAAGGGGAAATATGTTAGCATCTTGAATTCTGTGAACAGTAGCCACATCGAAGTAGATCTAATCATTATTGCATCTGGGGGCTGCCTAGGTTAAGCAATGCTGGTTTAACCAAAGCCTTTTGCAGGAAGCAAAGGGATGTGGTGGCACAGTGCCTAAGACACTGAGTTTGTCGATCAGAAAGGTCGGTAGTTTGGCAGTTTGAATCCCTAACGCCACGTAACAGAGTGAGCTCCCGTTACTTGTCGCAACGTCTGCCAACTTAGCAGTTCAAAAGCATGTAAAAATGTGAGTAGAAAAATAGGACCCACCCTTGGTGGGAAGGTAACTGTGTTCTGTGCGCCTTCTGCACTTAGTCATGCTGGCCACATGACCACAGAGGCATCTTCAGACAATGCTGGCTTTTTGGTTTTGAGATGAGCACCGCCCCCTAGAGTTGGGAACGACTAACACAATTGTATGAAGGGGAACTTTTACCTTTACCTTTGCAGGAAGCCCAAGAGAAGTTTGGGGTTGATCCAAGCTCCAGCTAGTCAGCCTGGCTTGGCCCCTTGTAAAAAAAGATTTTTTTTAATTAAATTTTTTAAATTTTTAATTTAAAACAAATACAACATCCTTCTTTGCATGCTATAGAAAGTGTATCAGTTGGTTACAAATAGACTTTTGCGCATCTCTTCCATAGTCAACAAACATAGTTCATGTTAACTCGAGCATTTTAACTCAAATATTCATACATGTCACCATCATCATATATCCATTTTCATTTGACTATAATTGTTATTTAAAAAATAATAATAATAATAATTTTTGTTTCTTAAACAAAAAGATTTTTTTAAAGAATTGTAAACCACCCAGAGTTGCTCTGTGGCAAGATGGGTGATCAATAAAATTAATAATAAATAAATAAATTGCCTTAGAAGGTAGGATCAGAGCCAGTGGGTTAAAAGTATAAGGGAATATTTCAGCCAGGTTAGAATCAGGAGAAACATCCTGACTGTGCTGTCAGCAAGCGGAACAAACTGCCACACATCAAGGGATGAGTTCTTCTTCATTAGGAGATCTTGAAATGGAAGCTGGATGATCAGTGATGTTCTAGTAGAACCTGGACTGGGCAAGGAGTTGAACTAGATGATCTAAGGGCCCTTCCAACTTAGAGTTGAATCCCCTTGTATATTTCAGAAGTCGGAAACTCATCTTTAGATACAAATATATATTTTTTGTGAACATATGCAATTTGTGCGATCACTTGCCATATAACCTCATAGATACCTGGATTGCATAAATTCAACATTGTGTTTGTGTGAACAATAAGGAAATACAATAATGACTTGAGAAATTTATTCAAGAATTAACTTATCATATTCAAAGATATTCTGACCATTACTTCAGCAGTTTAAAACAACCCAACACCCTAGAACACAGGTGTCAACTAACCATGTCACATGGCTGTAATGTGACATATAGCGACATTTTTTCTTTTCGCGGGGCTGGGGTGGGCTTGACCTGTGCGTGACGCATCTGGTCTGCAGGCTGCCAGCTTGTCACACCTCCCTAGAAGATATCCCAGAGAGGTAGCATTGCTTATTCACTTTGCATTTGTTTGGGGCTTGTGCTTTTTTTTTTCATTTTAGTCCTTTCCTCATTAGCAAAGAATTGATAAATGACTCAAAACTATATTAGCAGCTTCTCCATGATGCCATATGATCCTTGGTCAATGCATCATTATGTCTTCAGCATTGAATGGACATATCACAATATTGTGACTTTATTGTGAAGGCCCATTGACTGAATTTAATGTATGAAGAAGATCAGAATTATCTGAAAGAGATGGCGACTACCAGAGAAAGAGAATGTTTCAGTGCATTTGAAAATGTTGTCCACATTCAGGTCTTTTAAAGGAGCCATACAAACTTTCAATAGTGAAGGGCAATAATATTGTCTTCTTTATTTCCCAGCTTGTGTGTTTATGATGTCAATGGGATTCATCTGATGAATGAAGTCCACACACTCTACATGTGCGATACATCTCACGCCTGACATTTTCACCAGCCAGCACATAGATAAATGGATCTGCAATGCTCTTGGCAGTGGAAAAGCACAGAAAGATCACAGAAGTAGTATATATGTTTTTCTCAAATGTGCATACCTGATCTTGGTGCCGAAAAAAGATAATGGCTCTCACAAGGAGCACAAAATGGTAGGGAGCGAAGCATAGTACAAATACAGAAATGATGGCAATTGCCACGTTTCTCACTTTAGCTTTCTGGTCCGGATTGAGGCTGCAGCTGGTCTTAATACTTTGAAAAATCCTGTAGTTTGTGAAGAGAAGGACCCCCAGAGGAACGAGAAATCCCACGAAGAACCGGCTGATATTGTAAAGGGCCAAATTGTTATTGAGAGGAGTTTCAAAGCAGGTGTTTGTGTTTTTTTCCTGGATACTTGTGTTGAAAAACACAGGGCAATAGATTGCAGCAGTGATGCTAAAGAAGGCTACTGTGACTATAGTAGCAGTCCTTTGGGACCTGAAGCATTTCCCTCTGCTTTCCAGTGCGCGTACCACAGCCTTGTAGTGATCGATAGAAATGCAGCACAGGAGAAGAATGCTGATGTAGATGTTGCAGAAAAAGATATAACTGGTCACACGGCAGGACAGTTTCCCCATAGTCCAATAATGGTCATTTTGCACATAGATGATCCAGAGGGGAAGAGTGCTCAGGTACATAATGTTGCAGAGGGACAGGCCAAACAGGTAGATGGCTGTGATATTTTTTTTGCAAATTTGTACGAGTGTCACAAAAGCAGTTAGGCAGTTAGCTGGTAGGCCTATGGCAAAAATGAAGCTGTACACTACAATCAGGAGGTCACGGCTTTCTTTGAATGGCAGGTCTGTGGAGTTGCATATACTTCTGTTACCCATGAGGTCATTCCACAAACGCTTCCTTCATTTGGAGCCCCTGTTAACCTAAAAGCAAAATAGGTTTGGTTAGGTAATCTAATCTACTTTCAAGTTCATTCCTAAAAGCCACAATTTCTGCATAAGCACAGGTGTTCCTGATGGCATGGAATAGCTTTTTAAATTCAGGCTGATTTGTCAACTATGACATTAGCTATGTGAAAACAGCTTAGCTTCATTCACCCAGGCAATCTTTTGTACAGATCACTGCAATAGATTATGAATGTCACAATGAAGACAAGTTGGAAGTTCCAATTTAATGCTACTGATAGAAACTTGGGTACTGACTCGGATTGAGCATTATATTAAACTAACGTTGCATCATCTTCACAGGCATGTAACTGGATTCAGTTCAAGGTGCTGGCAATAACCTGCAAAACCTTTGACCATAATACCAAAATAAACTTTATTTCCTGTATATGCTGGTTTATTGAGTCCTGACTCCTGACACATGGTTAATTGAGAATAGGAGTTCTCAAGAATAGTTCCCTGGATAAAGAATTCACTTCCCAGAGAGATCCACCCAGGGGTGTCAAACTCGTGTTGTCACGGCATTGTCACGTGACGTATCACGACTTTTCTCCTTTGCTAAACCAGGCGTGGGCGTGGCCAGTGCATGACACATTTGGTTTGTGGGCCACGAGTTTGACGCCCCTGATCTAGAATATACTCCATTATTCTAGGAAGTGATGCAGGATAATAGTATATGATGTTTACTAAGAGTTGCTCTGCCTCTGCTGACTAGAAACTAGGCGACTGAGCTCTAGTCCTGTTTTAGGCATGAAAGCTAACTGGGTGACTTTGGGCCAGTCACTTTCTCTCATCCCAACCCACCTCTCAGGGTTATTGTTATTATGGGGAAAAAGAGGAAGAGGAAGGAGTATTATGTAAGTTCACCACTTTGAGTTACTTATAAAGTATTAAAGGTGGGATAAAAATCTAATAAACAGATGAATCATTGGAAAGTATCTGTGTTCTTTAGTGATCTTTCCCTCCAGAAGGAAACCTGATTCATGTGGAATTGTCACCAAGTTGATTGCAGGGCGTGTGTGTTGTGTGTGTCTAAACACTTCAGTTGAAGTTCCTGTCATGTATCAACATAATTATTATTATCATTATTATCATCTGTAGAAACTATGTTATTACCCTAGAGCAGGGTTCTCCACCAGTGGTAAAATTCAAAATTTTTACTGCCGTTCTGCAGCCGTAGCTTGGTGGGTGTGGCAGGGGAAGGATACTGTAAAATATCCATTCCCACCCCTCTCCTGGCACCAGCCAAAGGTGGTATTTGCTGGTTCTCCAAACTATTCAAAATTTCTGCTATCAGTTATCCAGAAGCTGCTGAATTTCACCCCTGTTCTCCACCTTGGCCACTTTAAGATGGGTGGATTCAACTCACAGAATTCTCCAGTCAAGTCTACTCAAAGTGGCCAAGGTGGAAAAGCATGGCGCTTTAGAAACATCAGTGCTTGCAACTCTTGAGGTGAATGTACCCTTTCTTCTAATTCAGGACTGTAAGCACACAACGAAATGGCTGGATTAAAATATCTCCTCTACTCGTTGAGCCTTAACATATGCTGCCCCAATCTCCCAGCCCTCTTCTGCCTCAGTCAGGAGGCCAGAAAGTTAAAGAAGTTAACACTTTAATGATGTGAAACAAATCAAGGAAAGCAACTGGAAATTCCCTTGGATTTCTTCCTTCTCCCAAAAGCCAGCATTGTTGCAGCTCAAGTAGAAGATGGATCTTGCTTACTACTGACAGTTCCCTCTTAATTCATCCTGTGCTCCTCTGTGCCTGCAGCCTGACAGCTGGGCTAATTTTTGGTACAGGCTTAGCACTCTTTCAGAAAAGGATTAGACCTGTGTCCAAACATACATTGGTTGACAGGTTGCTGGTGCAAAACATTTCCACATCACCCCCTTGTTAGTTGGGCAACTTGATAAGCTATTAACCCCAATGTTCCAAGCACCCGCTCATCTTGTTTCAACCTAATAAACTAATTTAGAAGAAGTTATTGGTATCTTTTTCCTGTTATAGAACTAGGTGTCTTTTTTTTTCTTTTCTTTTCCATAGCTCAAGTCAAAATGGCCATGGAGCACACAAGTTGAAAGGGAGTGTTTCTTCTTTAGCCTAAAATGGCCAATGGGCAGATTTCAACATGACTCCATCAGCAACTACACCAATGAACAAGGATCAAAATTCCAGCTCTTATTTTTGTTTGGGGTGAGGATAAAAAGACAAAAGGAATAAGTCAAGCTTTGCAGATTGTAAGATATTTATTTCAAACTTTGGAGGTGGAGGTGACTACTTGAAATCAATGAAACTGTATCTCTCTAGAATTGAGCTGGAGAACATAAGTAATCTATTCGTTACGCATTCTGCCATGGAGCCTAAATCAAGACTTGGAGAGCATTTCTCAACAATGTCTATGGAGATTCTCAGTCATCCAGGTCATGGTTGTCCCAAAGGTGATTTTTCTCTGAAGATATTTCACTTCTCATCCAAGAAGCTGCTTTTTTGTGGATGAGAAGTGAAACGTCTGCAGAAGCTTCTTGGATGAGAAGTGAAACATCTTCAAACAAACCCCAAAAAGTTCAGTTGCCTCTGGAAAAAGCATCTTTGGGATTTCTCAACAATCACTCTCTCAGAAACAACATTGCATGCTGTGTGTGGAAGAGCTGAAATCAGAAGTCAGGCATCAAAAGCTCAAGGCTCCTGAATTGCAGCTGTTTGCAGTGCACCACTACAATCTGCCAAATATGCAAAGGTACCTTTTGAGACTAATCAGTGCATAATGTAAACAGCATAGAGATACTTTCCCTGGAGATATTTTTTTTTGAAAACCTCTGATTAAAATCCAGCTAGACCTATTGTAGTCACAGTATTTGGACCTAAGGTTTCATAAACTGCTCCAGGTGTTGTGAACCTGTAACCCTCCAGATGTTGATGAATCCCAGCTACCATGGGCAGTGGGGAAGGATACTGGAAACTACAATTCAGCAGCAACTGGAAAGCCACAGAATGTGCAGCAGAGGCCACTTTGCCAATACACAAAGTTTCAATGAAGATAATATGCAGCTGAATATATACCATATGTTGGAGCAGACTCCCTAATACATAAAAATTCGTATGGCCACTGGGACTTCCCCAGACTGATGTTCTCCAAATATGTTGCACGTACAGATTCTGGGAGATAAAGGGCATCGGGTTGAAGAGAGTTTCATTCCCTTTGCTTTGAACTGGTATCGCTATCTTTTACACTAGTGTGATAGGAAATATGAAAGGCAAAAGGAAGTGAAACGGGTTGGGTTACACAGGGTTGTTCAGGCGTCTTGCAAAACTAGTAGAGAAGTTGATGATGCAAAAAGTGTTGCAACAAATGAGGCCCCCAATGTCTCAGTTTGAAAAAGGCAGTTTTCAAACCATATAGCTCTGCTGATGAATTAAGACTGCAATGCCCATAAACTTGGCTAAGTTTAATGAGGGATATCATAGCAATAGCAGTTAGCAGTTAGACTTATATACCGCTTCATAGGGCTTTCAGCCCTCTCTAAGCGGTTTACAGAGTCAGCATATTGCCCCCAACAACAATCCGGGTCCTCATTTTACCCACCTCGGAAGGATGGAAGGCTGAGTCAACCCTGAGCCAGTGAGATTTGAACAGCCGAACTGCAGAACTGCAGTCAGCTGAAGTAGCCTGCAGTGCTGCATTTAACCACTGCACCACTTCGGCTCTTGATAGTCATAGTCTAAATAGAGTAGAAGAAGCCTATTCTATTTCAGCCAATATGAAACATCTTACTATTGAGTGGAGTAATAGAAAAAATATTGTGAAAAAAAATGGTACCTTAAGCATTAGACCAAACTGGCCAGTTGTTTTATTTATTTGTCACATTGTTCATCTCGGAAACAAGTGACTCTGGCTGGTGTATAACAAAACTAAAAAACAATGAATATTTTAAAAACAATAAATATTATTTTAAAAGCTCTAAAATTTGTAAAAGCATAAAGCTAAAAGATTATGGCTATCACAGGAATTATCCAATTAACATACTCCATGCTTGAATTAGAACCGTGGTTAGAATGCTAACTCACTGCTTACTACAGAAGTTCGATCCAGACAGGTTCAAGGTTGATTCAGCCTTCCATCCTTCCGAGATTGGTAAAATGAGGATCCAGATTGTAGGAGCCAATATGCTGAAGCTGTAGACTGCTTCGAGAGGGCTGTGAAGCACTGTGAAATGGTATATAAGTGCTATTGCTATTTGACTAAGGATTATATGTACAGTATGTTCTATGTAAGTGTATTTTCTATCCACCTTTAACATAAAACTTACAGATGTGACTACATTTGGAATATTCTCATTTATTTCAGTCATCACATCTCAAAATTAATCCTGTAGAGAACTAGAAGATGCAGAATAGGACAAATGATATTACTGATTGAATTGGAACATTTGTTAACATGCAATTTGTAACATTTGTTGGGCCTCACTTACAAACCGTTGGTGAAATGTGACTTAGAATCTGAATAAATCATAGATTGCCAGCTCAGTGCAACATTTGAATGCAGTGATAGACACCGTGGATAAGTCCAATGGAAGAAGAATATGAAATTCACTCAGAACATTATACTTAAATAAAATTGGTGCACGATATTCTATCTTTGATATTTTTCCATTTCTGATTGCTAAAATAGAGAATTCATTTTCAAAAAATTGCTGGAAAGATAAATAGGTCATTTTTACATAGCTGATGTCTGTCTGTCTGTCTGTCTGTCTGTCTGTCTGTCTATCTGTCTACTTACCCACCTACCTACCTACGTACCTATCTTTGGTGTCTATCTATCATATTTAGAAGCCATCCATGTCTCTCATAGTTTAACTCTGGGCAATGCATAAATTCAACAATTCTGGAAAAATGATTCATTCTAGAATGAAACAAAAGTTGAATTGACATTTCAATATATGATATCACTGAACTTTACCAACCCTTTACATATACTGAATTAGCTTTTTGCATTATAACTGCTGCAAAGATATGCTTCTTCCTGGAAAGGTTGTTTGATTCCTTCAACAAAAGAATGGCTAACCAAATCCTGAGAGTATTTTTTAAGGTCTAAAAACTTCGTATTTTAAAAATCAACATTATTAGCAAGTTGAAAAAAAATCTGTATAAAAAGAGAGAACACTTGGGGCTTTTCTTTGAGTAAGAAAGACAAATGTAGGTAGAGAACACTTTTTTTCTTTGTTGCATGATACCAAAATTAGGGGTGATGCAATAAACATGATGGAATAGATCAGGGGTGTCAAACATCACCTGACGTATTGTGACTTTTCCCCCTTTGCTAAAATGGGGTGGCTGTGGCCAGTGCATGACACATCTGGCCTGTGGGCGAGTTTGACACCCCTGGGATAGATAAAATAGTAACCTCCTCATTATCTGCAGAAGGAGGCTGCTACAGAAGGAATTCACTACCCAAAGAATGGGTAGCAATGTTTTTTTAAAACTCTGTACAGTAAATTGAATTAATAGAGGATCAGGCTATTAATGTCTCAGTTGGTGGCTCCTGATAGCTAGATTGTTCATCTGCTTAAAAAAAAACCTGACATTTCACCATACGTATATGGTTCTTTCCGTTCTCTTAACACATAAATAAACTCAGAACATTTTAGTCAGTTGTCTCAGAGTTAGTCATTAGTGTCGTTTGTAAGAGGAAGAAACGAAAAGTGTCCTTTTGGATCATTTAGACATTGGAAATGTATCATCAAAGCCACAAATAGGTAGGCACATGTTTAATATTTTCCTCAAAAAACACCTAGTAGATACAATGGATATCTTAACTCCAAGTGGTGCAAAGTAAGAGTGTTTCAATCAAGAAAATGAGAGCAGAGAAATTGGAGTGGAATTACATGAGAAACAAACTATGAGCTGAAATCTAGTATTACCAAATTTTTTCTTTGAAAAAAAAATGTGCTCAAACAAATCCCAGACTTATCTTTGAAATAAGTCCAAAGAAGAGTTAAGAGTTGTTAACCTAATCTTGTGAAGCTTCTTCTCCGGCAATATTGTACTGAAAACTTTGCTAGACCAATTCTCGAATACAGCTCGTCTGTCTGGAACCTGCACTATATATCGGACATTAACACAATTGAGCAAGTTCAGAGGTATTTTACCAGAAGAATACTCCACTCTTCTGCTTGCAACAGAATACCTTATGCCACCAGGGGTGAAATTTTGGGCTTGGACAACCTAGAACTACGCCGCCTATGGTCTGACCGAAGCGTAGTACACAAAATTATCTGCTACAACGTCCTACCTGTCAATAACTACTTCAGCCTCAACCGCAATAATACATGAGCACACAATAGATACAAACTCAAGGTAGCAATAGCAATAGCAATAGCAGTGGACTTATATACCGCTTCATAGGCCTTTCAGGCCTCTCTAAGCGGTTTACAGAGAGTCAGCATATTGCCCCCAACAATCCGGGTCCTCATTTTACCCACCTCGGAAGGATGGAAGGCTGAGTCAACCCTGAGCCGGTGAGATTTGAACCGCTGACCTGCTGATCTAGCAGTAGCCTGCAGTGCTGCATTTAACCACTGCGCCACCTTGGCTCTTAGGTAAACAGCTCCAAAGCTGATTGCAAAAAATACAACTTAAGCAAGAGAGTGGTCAATGCCTGGAATGCACTACCTGACACTGTTGTTACATTCTCAAACCCCCATAACTTTATCTGTCTACTGTTGACCTCACTCCATTCCTAAGAGGTCAGTAGGGGTGTCCATAAACGCACCAGCGGGCCTAATTTCCCTGCCCAGTCCCCATTTATTTGTACCCATTTCCTGTCTTCTTATTCATGTTTATTCTTATTCATGTTATCTTGTACATGAGTGGCAAATTAAATAAATAAAAAATAAAATAAAACTACTACCTCATGGGAAGACCACTGTATCCAGAAATTAATGAATTTAAGTACATAACTTAGTAGATACAATTGAAAAACAAAACCAAAGGGGCATATGACGTTTTGTAAAACCAGTTAAAAAACCACAGTGAAGTATGACTGCTTAAAGACAAATAGCATTGTTGAAATCTTATCAGAATTAGTAGATAAGATTAGTAGAAATGAAAATGGAAATGTTAGAAACATTATAGCCAGTGATACTTTTTGTACTGTATTTCCAAGAGAGAGATAGTAACATGATTTAATTATTCATTGATGTATTAAATGCATGCGGGCACCCATCACACAACTAGCAATATTTAAAAAATATACACAGTAGAACACATTTGTAAACCACAAAAACAGCAGTAAGGACTGAACCAACATATCACAACAATTAATATAATCATAAAACAGACTTCCATTTGTCAGTGTTCTATCGGAACCTCAGAAATAAAATATTTCTTTCTGCAAAAGAGGAGCAACACTTACCTTGATAGTATGCAGCAATCATCATATTATGACTTCTGAATTTACCACATGTGTAGAAATACTTCAAGATGATGATAACCACAAGGGGTTTTTTTCAGTAACTTCTTCAATCAGCCCTCAATCTTGCCACTGCTGCTTTGCCTGTTCTCCTTCAACCTCTCTCATTTGGGTTAGAAAATTAGAAGAATGTGAAATATAGATAAATGGGAAGATACCAGAGAGGAAATGATTCATTAGAGTTGATGCAATTGTTAAAGCAGACGTACTGTTTTAAAAAGCTCATGTGGGAATTTTTTTTTTAAAAGAGGGTTGAATACCAGTGAAGTGCTATGCTTACACGTGGTCTAAGGGTCTTCTTCCAAATAACGATTGACCTTATGGTCTGAAGATACTATATAGTCAGATAAAAATGGTCCGCAAATGAATAACTAGACTCGGGGAGCACCCAGGACTCCACAATTCAACCCTGACCTACATATATTCTCTTCTATTAATATTTAACCCAAGTAGATATATTTACAGATAGTCCTCTATTTACAACAGTTTATTTAGTGGCTATTTGAAGTTACAATGATCCTGAAAAATGTGACTTATGCCCGTTTTTCACACGGCATTGCAGCATCCCTATAGTTACATAATCAAAATTCAAATGCTTGGGAACTAGCTCATATTTATGATGGTTGCAGTATCCTGGGGATGGGTGGGAGTCAGACAAAACAGGCCCAGGAAATTACAGACCAATCAGCCTAACACCAATACCTGGGAAGTTACTGGAAAAGATAATACCCCCCCCCCTCAAAAAAAATCTGTGAACAGCTAGAAACAAACTAAACTATTTTTTTATATTTTTATCAACTAAAATTTTAGATTTTTATAACTAAAAGCCAGCCTGGGTTTGTTAAAAACAGAACATGCCAAACCAATCATATTTCCTTCTTTGACAAAGCGACTAAATTAGTAGAACTAGTAGAGTGTGGACATACTATAGTTAGACTTCAGCAAGGCATTTGACAAAGTAGACCACAACCTACTTCTTGGTAAGCTAGAAAAATGTGGTATATACCGCATCACCACCAGATGGATTTGTAACTGGTTGACAAACTGTACTCAATGAATCGTCTTTAATGTACTAGACCTACATGGAGAAAGTAAGCAGTGAGGTACCAAAAGGTTCCATCTTAGTCCAAGTACTCTTCAATATCTTCATAAATGACTTAGATGAGGGACTATAAGGGAAACCCATCAAATTTGCAGATGACACTAAGCTGGCAGGAATAGCCAACACCCCAGAAGACAAGTTCAGGATTCAAAAAAGATCTTGACAGACGTGAACAATAGGCCTATCCAACAAAATGAAATTTAATGTGGACAAAAGCAAGATTTTACCCTTAGGCAGGAAAAACCAAAGGTACTGTACAAGTACAGATTAGGCAAAACCTGGTTCAAAAACAGTAACAGTGAGAGTGACCTAGGAATCCTAGTGGACAATCACTTAAATATGAGCAGGAAAGAGCGGGGATTGTGTGTGCATGCGTAGGGTGGTGCTGTGTTGCGCGGATAGAATTATGGGTGTGGGCATGCCCGTGTACAACCCCCCTGCTTTTGGCACGCGATGGCAAAAAGATTAGCCATCACTGGTATAGGGTCTCCTGCTTGAGCAGGGTGTTGGACTGGAAGACCTCCAAGGTCCCTTCCAGATCTATTCTGATTGATTGATTGATTGAATTCCTCAGCCAGCCACAAGTCTTAAAGTGTTAAATTTGCCTCCAGAAGTTCTGAGTGCTCCAAAGCTGGAGGTTTTAAAGAAGAGATTGGACAACCATTCGTCTGAAATGGCAATGGGGCAGGGGTGTCAAACTCAATTTCATTGAGGGTCTTATCAGCATTGTGTTTGACCTTGGGGGGCCAGGGTGCATGTGGCCTGGCTGGGCATGACCCATTTGACGTCACTCCTGTTGGGGGCACCTGTGGTGGTCCAAGTGCTCTGCCAGCGGAAACAGGCTCCTGAGCTCTGCTTTTGCCTGCAACAGTCTTCTGCAACCCTCTGCAGTGAAAATAGAGCTTGGGAGGGCCGTACGCAGTCCCCCAGAGCTCTGTTTTCGCTGGCCCAGTCCTTTGCTGTTTTCAGGGCAGCCTCGTGGGCAAGATCAAAGCATCCTGCGGGCCGGATTCTTCCCCCGGACCTTGAGTTTGACACCCTTGGTATAGGGTTTCCTGCCTGAGCAGAGGGTTAGTGTCAGCTTCTGCCTTGCTGTTGCTTCAGCTGCCATGAAACGGGGAGGGAGGGCTGGTATTTGGGAGGGGTTATTTGATGTGCTGGAGGAATGTTCTAGGATGTACAAGATGGTTGGATTGCGCATGCGTGAGTGCTTCCCGCCTGGACCAACGGCCTTGACATTCCATCTTCGTGATGTCTTTTTGAAGTTATCTCACACCTGACATTTGAAGGACTTATGATTGGCCTGAGGCTATTATCCTAAGGGGTGGGGAATGGACTATTCTATATATCAATCGCTTTCGTGCCTAATTAAGTAGACTTTGCTTTGCAACTGCTCGCTAACCATTTGTAATTAGTAAAAGTACTTTTGATTTCCAACACATGGAATCTCTTAGTCTTTCTTTCCTAATTATTTAATGGAGTGATGCTGACAGTTAGACTAAGAGACCTCCAGGGTCCCTTCCAACTCTATTATTCTGTTAGCCTGGATCATGTGGTCATCTTTGGCAAAGTTAGTGGGAATCCAGATTCACTTAACAACTGTGTCACTAACCTAACAACTGCAGGGATTCACTTACCAACTGAGGCAAGAAAGATTGTAAAATGGGTCAAAACACACTAACAACTACCTTGTGTAGCAACAGACAATTTGGACTCAAAATTTCAAATTGTAAGTCAAAGACTGTCTGTACTCAAGAGTTTTAGCCAGTGAAACTGAGCATGCTGTAGGTTCTGAATGGCAGAGAATTCAATAGAAAGATCACGCTTCTGATTTTGGCAATGCAAGTTATTAAGGAAAGTCAGAGAAGTGGTAAGGGATATGGTAGAACATACTTAGATACTTCCAAAATCACTGAAATTTTGTTGGGGACTCTGCATGACTTGTGAACTATGGGTTGTTATACCTGCTGTTCTTTGTTTTCTCTCCCATTGTGTTTCCTTCCTTCTCCCTTTCTTCATAGGCATCTGCATCAGGAGGGGAGCAAGTGGGGGGACAAAGACTGTCATCTGTGTCAACAAGGACCATGGTAGGTGTTGGAATTCCTGGATACCTGGTGACAAATAGGCTACAGGACTCAGGACTATTGGCGGAGCAACTGCAGGACTACTGTAAAAAAAGTTATTTACCTGTTACACATACAGTATATGAAAGACTGAAAGCAAAGAAATAATAATCTGGTATTACAAATCCAATCCAATGAGAAGAAGAGATCTAAAAAGAATGTGCTGGTTCTGGAAAGAACAACATCCAGAATCTGGAAACAAAAACAGAACAGAGGCTAGCAGATCAATTTTGATTTATAATAAGAAATAAAGTATTCCCGAAAGTAGAATTGGAAGAACTGCAAGGGTCTAGGCCAGTGTTTCTCAACCTTGGCAACTTGAAGATGTCTGGACTTCAACTCCCAGAATTCCCCAGCCAGCATTCGCTGGCTGGGGAATTCTGGGAGTTGAAGTCCGGACATCTTCAAGTTGCCAAGGTTGAGAAACACTGGTCTAGGCAGAGCAACGAAATAGAAGCCTTGCCAGAATAGCTTCGTGTAGTAGAAAATTCTGTGGGTAAGTGATAAAGGAAGCAAGCATAGCCACTGAACCATTTTCAATCCCACACCAGACACTCTCGCCTCTTCCACCTTCTCAGAAAGAATAAAGCCTTATAAGTAAAACAAAAAAGGAACTGAAACAAACAATATCTGAGCCACATGTAAAAACAAGGCTGCCTGCACGAAAGCTTATAAAGAAACAGGTAACACTACTACTAGTCCTTGAAATATGACCACAATTGAGCCCAAAATTTCCATTGCTAAGTGAGACATTGAGTTTTGTCCCATTTAATGACCTTTGTTGCCTCAGTTGTTACGTGAGACCCTGCAGTTGTTAAGTTAGTAACATAGTTGTTAAGTGAATCTGTTTTCCTCCATTGACTTTGCTTGACAGAAGGTTACAGAAAGGAATTGCATGGCTCCAGGACACTGCAACTGTCATAAATATGAGTCAGTTGGCAAGAGTCTAAATTTTGATCATGGGACCATAGGGATGCTGCAATGGCCGTAAGTGTGAAAAATGGTCATGTCAGTGCTGTTTTAACTTCCAACACTCATTAGATGAACTGTTGTAAGTATGGAACTACTTGTATTAAAATATGCCAATATAGTGGTTTCAATATAAGCATCAGCTCACTATAGGGAAAAACCCCCAACTAATGGAACTGGGTGTGTCTAGTTTAATAGAAAGAAGGACTAGGGGAGACATGATAGCAGTGTTCCAATATCTCAGGGGTTACCACAAAGAAGAGGGAGTCAAGCTATTCTCCAAGGCACCAGAGGGTAGAACAAGAAGCAATGGGTGGAAGCTAATCAAGGAGAGAAGCAACTTAGAACTGAGGAGAAATTTCCTGACAGTTAGAACAATTAATCAGTGGAACAGCTTGCCTCCAGAAGTTGTGAATGCTCCAACAATGGAAGTTTTAAAGAAGATGTTGGATATCTATTTGTCTGAAACGGTATAGGTTTCCTGCCTAGGCAGGGGGTTGGACTAGAAGACCTCCAAGGTCCCTTCCAACTCTGCTATTGTATTGTAATGTACAGCACAGCTGCAGTTAAACCTGATTGCCTGTGATGCAAAATCAACGAACAAGAAAAAGAGCCAAACTGTGTGCCACCAAAATAGAAGATCTGGATGGAAAATAAGACCAGCAGGTTAAGATTAGATGCAAACAAGCTAGAACAGATGAAAGAAAAGTAATTGAAGAACAAGACCAAAGAGTACCTGATGAAGAAATATCATCTCGAAACAAGGAAGATCAAGGAACCACTGGAGATAATAAAGCAGCAAATAACAGCTATAGCTAAGATCACAGATAGGAAACTCAAATTACCCACAATAGTCAAAATCTTAAATTTCAGTAGAATTAGAACTATAGGCAGAACCATTCCTAAT